GACTTAAGAGTAGGGATCATACAAATTGCCTTAATTAATGCTTCGCCTTTAATAAAATCAAGTTGATTATAAGAAATATCTAAAGAAGTTATAGTAGTGTTCTTACGAAGAGCTTTTGCTATTGCATTCCATCCTTCAGAACTAATACCTTCATTATTAGAGAGATTTAAAGAAGTTATAGAATTTTTATGAAGAATCTCTATTAATATTCCCATTGCATCCGAATCAAGTTTGATTTCACAAAATTCTAGAAAGGTAAGATTGGTAATAGTAGCATTATTAAATGTGGTTTTATCAAAAATGGGACCATTAAAACTTAAGGCTTTAATTCTTCTACTTTTTCGTAAAAACATTTCAATTAGAGAATATTTCACAGCCATTATAGGTAGATAAGCATCATCATTGATAGAGATTGAATAACGTGATCTAGCGGTAAATCCGAACCAGTCGTAAGTTGAAAAGGGCAAATGAAAATCATCAACAGACGTAGCATAACTTGTATAGTCGAATAATTGGTTTGAAAATTTTGGAAGAACAATTTTAAAGGGAACTAATAGAGCTTGTTCTTTTGCATTTAATGCCGAAAGACACATTTTTAAAAGCCTTTTATCATTAAAATGTTTCGTCGGGTTGCTCCATAATATTGGTATAATAATCATACACCAGAGGCGACTTACGAGAAGGCACGAAAATAAACTTCTATAATGAGTTCTAAGGTTGTTAAAGATTTCGTGAAGGCACTCGTTTGGTAACGCGTTCATTTTTTAAAAGTTAACAGGTAAAACAATAATTTTGACGGAAAAGAAAAATACAAACATTTGATAGAAATTTATGTGATCAAATATTTATTGTAAAACTAGATTTGGCATTTTCTTGTTACGCAAACTTTTTTATATCATATCAGATATTGTTTACGAAAAATTTTAAAAAATCGATAGTAATCAAAATTTTGCCTATGAAACCGGCTTTTATGCTCTAATTAAAAAAATTCCTTGCAAAACTTTAGGTATATTTCCGCCCCTTTTAATCTTAGATCTAGTTAAAATAAGGTACTGCTGTTTTAAATTCTGCGTTACATCTTGGAATATGATTGGCTGTTGCGCAAAATCTTTGACAGACCAAAACTAAAATTGGGTAAAATTCACCACCCAAATTTTTTTCAGATTACATGATATGATCGCTCAAAGCGAAGCGTAGCGGAGATGCTAATTTAATTGTTACTGTATTCATACATATTTCGAATAAATAATTTCATATGATCTGAAAAAAATTTGGGTGGTGAATTTTTTGCTGATTAATGCGTCACTAACCTGGCACACAATTGGGATGTTAAAAAAAACGGGTTAAACAGTTTTTTAAACGTTTTTTATTGTTTAAACTTTTTTTAAAACATCGAAACTGAGATAAAATTTGCTGAAACTGACAATATTACTTCTGATTAATTAATTTAATTTTCAGTCGAGAAAGTTTTTTAAAAAAAAGACGTTGCTACATAATTTCGAATTTATCTATAAAATAATAATAAAATTAATACATTTGTTCGTTTTAATTTTTATCAAAGCTATCGATAGCTATTATTTTTAAATGCGAAATTTGCTTGTCAGCCAATACAACCTTTCATTCTGTATTAGTTTTACATTTGTTGGTATTGAAAGACCAAGGTTTACAATATTACCACTATGTAAACCCATTGAATAAGTTTTTGCGAATGAATTATTTGTAGAACCAGAATCCAGTTTTTGGATTTTTTACATTTTAATGAATGACCTTAACTAAGTCAACACAGTCTTCGTCGCAATAATGATTTTCGTAATCATGATATTGTACATTTTTGAATCATAATTACGTCATAATGTATTAAAGATTTAAATGAATCAAACATGATTTTAAGATCGTGTTTTAAAACATTCGCCATCCCTAGGCACACATTCAAGAATTGCCTATTAATATATGGGGTCTTTGCTTTGAAAATGACCTTACGGTACATGATACCGTAAGGTCATTTTCAAGGCAAAGACCCCATATGTGAATGATGTAAATCGCACGGTTAGGGTTGAGTTTATTAGTAAATTTCACGAGGAACATTTTTAATTAGGCCGCAGAAGGTGGTTTCCTAATTAAAATTTAGAGCTATTCTCGTTTTTTTGTAAAAAAGCAGCTTCGCTTCGATTTTTACGTTACACCTGATCCTGAAATTCGATTGGCCAATATTACAGGGGATGACCAATTTTTTGTGGGACAGCTAGGAGCGTTCCATATAAAGGTTACCTATAAAACTGTGGTTAAATCGCCACCTAAAAAAATTTCAGCCCTAACTATAACGCGGTTTAGTTTTACGTGAAACTTTTTACTTAGAAAACAAACCACACTTTGACTAAAATCTTAAATGGATACAATCTCCGGGAAATCCAAGCATGTCTTAACATGTTCGCAACCTTTCAGAATGAATCCGAATCAGACTTAAACAAAGCCGAAGTTGATATTCAAATTTGAACCAAACTGGGCATGAAAAAATAGTTTGAGTTTGAGCCAGATTTGAATTTCAAATCAAATCCAAAGTTTGGTTCGGTCTGGGTCTGATGGAACCCTAGTGTGAATATCCTAATAACGGTTTACAGTTCTAACCTCATCTCTAATAATTTATACAAAACTGAAAAACAAATTTATGAATTAATTAAATAATTTAAGCACTTTGCATTTAATTTGTAAATTACAAGTTGGCACAAGTTTAATCCTTAGTATTAATAAATTAATAAATTCTCTTGATATATAAAATATACAGTATAAATAATATAATTCAAATTCCCTTAATACAGTAATATATATCTTTGAACCTGTTTAAACATAATAAAAAATTTTTATTTATTATAATATACTGTAAATAATATTTGTTTACATGTCAACTTCTAATTCTGCATTGGGAATATTAAATAGTGTAAATCTGCAAAATTTTTTAGAATTTGGAGTTTTATACAAAAATTGCATTCAATTTCTGCATTTATAGCTATCAGATTTGAAGTTTTGCACTGATTTTTATTTGATTTATTATTTAATTTTTTTGCAAATCTTTACAGAACTGCACTAAAAAAAGTTTTCCGACGTGGGACAACACCAATATTTTCCCAGTTTAAACATTCTAGAAATTTTTCATCTAACTCTTTAATATCACAATTTGGGTTAATTGCAATAGTATTAATATTTTTTTGAATGCCTTGAAAAGATTTATTCTCAGATGCATCCGGAATACTTTCATTAAGTGTATGATCTTTAATAAAATCGCAAGATCGTTTTATTGAGAACTTTGAAATTTTTTCATAAGGAATTTTCTATTAATATTATAATATAAAATATATATAAAGTATATATATATGAATATATATAAATATGTGAAAGATAATTAGAAAACTCGAAATTTTTCTTGATGTCAAATAAAACTCACTTCTTGAAAACAATGACACGCTCCTTCATAAACTTCAAGTGTGACATTGGTAGGCTTTTTGAATGGTGAATTAGCAAAATTCAGTGTAGCATATTTAGGTAATTGATATTTACTCGGATCAGAAGCTCTGAAACTGAATAAAATATTTGAATCCAGAAATCTTTCTCCACCACCTACTTGCTATTTTATCAGTAAATGTAAAAGCATGTGATTGAGATAACTAATACAAAATTAATCTATGAATATATGATAATTCAATTACTTACGCATAAAATAGGTGGTAGATTTCCCAAACTTTCAGCTAACATTGGACTAACATATGGAATGGCCAAAGCTTCATTTGCACAATATAAATTAAATCTTGGAACTTTATTAAAAGAAGGATGTCCGACTACTTTTGGTTTTTTTTGTTTAATTTTTTCCGAAAGAATTTTTACGCGTTTAAAATATTCAATTGAAATAGAGGTTGGTGGACCGAGTTTACTAATACCTAGCGCACCAATTAAAAAGTCAGTTTTGTCCATTTCAGGTTTCCAATAAGATGGCATGCTATTCATTAAATCTACCCATGGTGACTTTTTTGAATTTATTATTATTAAGAATGTAATTAGTTAAGCATAAAAACCTTGTAATAATCATAAAATTAATAAATATACCCATAAAACAAGTCCTGATGGCAATGGTAAACCAACATCACGAATGAATAATGTAGTAGCAACAGCTAATCCACCACCAGCACTAGATCCAGCAAATATAATTTGTTTAGGATCAATTGGTTTAAGTCCTGTTTCAAGAGGAGGATCAGTAAGATATAAATATGCTGCTAAAGCATCACAAAGTGCAACAGGAAATTGATTTTCAGGAGCAAGACGATAATTAATTGCTAATTATAGAGAATAAAAGGTTAAAAATCTATATTTTATGAACTAAGAAATACAGTGACTAAAAATTTAGATAATTCTTTACCAAAAACTGAACATTCAGCATTTTTTGCGATTTCATAAGTCATATTGCGACATACTTTAGGTGATCCCATATAATATCCTCCACCAAACATGAAAAGCACAACCCTTCCTGTATCTTTCCTATCTTTAATTTTAATCCATTCTCCGGATAATCCATCATTATCAAGATCTTGCCATTTTTCATCAATAACGTCTTCGTATATTTTCAACCTATCCACTAAATATTCCTTGCTTTTAATTACATATTTTTCATCCAATTTAGTCTCTTCCACAATGCAGTCATTTGGAGTTGATATAGGAATTAAGCCATATTGCTTTCTTGCTTCTTCTATGGTTATATCTTTAAAAGCTTCAATATTCTTTTTCAACTGTTCTAATGCTTCATAATATTGCGGAGAAAACGAAATTTGGGACATTATAAATATCCTTTTTTTTTTAAAAAAAAACTTTTTTTTTATCTGTTTGGTCGTCTTTTAAGAAAAATGTGAATCCTGTAGTTATGCATTTTAGAAGTCTGTAACTCAACACCCAGTTCATATGAGATTACATACAAATTTTTCCTAACCTTGTAAGTATATAATTTCCGATTGACACGTACAATTTTGACATTGTAAGTTGCGGTGCTGAGGAATTATTTCTATATTTGTAGAAATAATTCTCAATCGTTCAATAATTCCACAATTCCACAAACAGCAGATGTCTTTTTCGATTGCCCTACAATTATTATGACGGTTTGTAAAAAGGTATGACCTCTGCAAATCATGATGTCATGTAAAATCATGAGGAATCAGCCGATTTTTCGATTCTTGGAGAATTTTAAAGATTTCGAACAAATATTGACGTTATCGTTATTGATTGAAAATTATAATCAATAGGAATTGAAATTTTTCCGTTATCATCATCACGAAATCACAGGGTCGCACCTTTATGCAAACCGCCATAAGTTCGTTGAACGTAACTCGAGCTTGCATAAGGAGAGCACCTGAATACAAAGTAAAATTTCCAATTATAATCATGAATATCGGATACATAGCGGTAGGCAAGTTTCCTGATATGTACCCGATAGTCTGCCATAGATCCGCCAAATACCTGCAGCTTATTGTATGGGTATATGAATATCCCAGTTACACACACGGGTTCATATTGCCTTCGGCACAGCATGATGGAAATTTGGTTTGATTGGCCAAAAAAATGATCGACATTTTATAAATAATAAAATTTGATTGGTTAAAACTAAAGATTAACCTCACGTTATCTCGCAATACCCCTTTATGGTTTTTTGTAAAACCGATTGACCGATTGATAATATTTAACACTTTATAACTTGCTCACGTGAAGTTAGAAACTTTTAATCGAAAAAACTGTAGATGTTTCGTTTTAAAATGCCAAAAATTTAATGT